GCCCCAGGGCACGTCCTAGAGAAGCCTGGGGTTGCTTCACCACCTGAGAAGAGTAAAAGAGCACTCAAATATTCTTGATTTACTTTTTTGATTGTTTTTTTTTTAAGATCTATTTATCTGAAAGGCAGAGTTACAGAGAAAGAGGGAGAAAAATACAGAAAGAGAAGGAGATCCTACATCTGCTGGTTCTTTTTTTTTCAAACGGTCACAGTGGCTGGAGATGAGCTGATCTGAAGCCAGGAACTTAGAGACCCAGATATGTGGGCCATCCTCCACTGCTTTCCCAGGCCATTTGTAGGAACTGGGTCAGAAGTGGAGCAGCCACACAAATCAGTGCACATATGGGATGCCAGCACTCCCCTAATTTGTTTTAATAACCTTTAAGGATCGATGCTGTGGCTATCAGCCACATAAGAATTCATTAGTCTACTGCAACCACATACTATATATAATAAGAAGTTATGTATTTTGATTGACGGTATCATTTTTGACAACTCTTTACCGGGTATGTTCTGCTGCTAGTAATTTAGACTCTCCATTTAAAGACATGTATGCATCCTACCTATATGATATGCATATATGTATATTTTTATAAAATACCCAGGGCTTTTCATACTGTTAGATGTACTTTCATACTGTTAGATGTATTTTACATCTTTATCAAAAGACAGCTTGTAAGTGCTATCCGCCTAATGTCCTCTTTAGGAGCAAGACTAATAAATTTCTTCAATTTCTCTGCTTCTGCTTTTCAAGCTTCTCTTTTTTCTTTTGCACTGGGACTTTAAATTGGATTTTTCTATTTGGCAAACCAAAGTTTAACCAATAGTTTGGAGTTTTCTTTTCATTCAATTCAGTAAGTATTCCTTGAACATAGCATCTGTGCTAGGCTTTTAAATTGTAAAGAGCACCTAAAACCACAGGCAAGAAGCAGTTTTTACCTCATAGGAATTTGTTATCTAGCCCATAGTAAGATGGTTTGGTTGCTGTTTTGGTGGCAGGGTAGCTATTTGTGAAATCCTTGATAATTTTAACTCTTAACACCATTCTATCCTGGACTTGGGTTTTTTTTTAAAAATGTCCAGGTTTCCTTGCTCAGCTCAGCACCTGCCATTTAAAAAGAATCACACTTTCTTTCATGCCCTTTGTTAAAGTGAGATAAAAGTTTGATTTTAGTAAACACCGCATTAAGATATGACTGACACACTTCATGTATACAACCTCAATAGCCTGCAGTCATGCATACTTTTGTGAGATATCACCATACTGTTCATGTCACAAACTTTATTAAAATTAGTGCTGAGGCCTGGCATTGTGCAGGATTGGGTAAAGCCAAAGCCTGGGGTGCTGGCATCCCATGTGGTCACTGGTTTAAATCCAGTTGCTCCAATTCCCATCCAGCTCCCACTTACGGCCTCGGAAGGCAGTGGGGAATGGTCCAGGTGCTTGGGCCCTGCACCCATGCGGGAGACCCAGAAGAACCTTCTTATTCTTGGCTTCAGATCAGCTGAGCTTCAGCCAGTGAGCTGTTGAGTTAGTGAACCAGCAGAGGGAAAATCACGCTCTGTGTTACTCTGCCTTTCAAATCAATCAATCAACATTAAAAATAGTATGTATTTCCTACTGCAATACTAAATTTAATTTAATTCTTATTATTGTAGAATGATGGCTAACAGGTAATTTTCAGGTCAGTTTTTATTCCTCTGGGAAAAAGGCAGATTTGCTTTGCTTATGGGCTCTCAAATATCCTGCCTAAAGAAGAAGGCATTTTGCTGTCTTTCCAGATTCTTCTCTCTAGTAATTTGATGTTACACTGATTGATTGGTATTTGAGTACTCCATTCTGATGCTTGGCCAACTGTTGCAGCTTCTCCCACCAAACACAAGAAGATCTGAACCATGATTTGTGCTCTCTGCAATGTTACTACTCATACCTGTTATACCAGGATAATTCCAGGCTCTCTTGCCCACTTGCTTGCCTTTACTGCTCTGCAGTACTACTTGGAGACATCTGTGATTAGCAAGCTCAGAAAGCCAGGAGGACAGTTATTCACTCCTGCCTCTCAAGCTTATTTTTTTCTAGCTCACTCTGGGGCAACAATGACTAATTCATTAACCAGTATAATTAGTACACAAACACCACGATCAGTTTGCATCTGTAAAATTACCTCTTGATTATTGAGGGGACAATTAACCAATTCGGAGATGATATGGTCCTCTAGCACTTGGTTTTCTGGCTATTTCAATCCCAGCAGAACATCACTAAAAGGATATGGAGGTGACCAAACAAAAATTGTGAAACGAGCATGAGCCGGTGAGTTTCCTATGAAGTCCAATGGAAACTAAAATGATGGGCAGGTCCTCCACTGCTTTCCCAAGTGCATCAACAGGGAGCTGGCCAGAAGTGAAACAGCCAGGATACAAACCAGTGCTCATATGCGATGCTGGCATCACAGATAGTGGCTTTACCAGCTATGTCACAATGCCAGTCTGTTTTTTTTTTTTTTTCCTCTACCATTTAAAACTGTAAAAATGATACTCAGGTCACTGGTCATAAAAAACCAAGGGCAGGCTAGATTTGGTCTTCCAGGCCTAGTGTGCAGATCCTAACTCTAGAACATTTAGTTCCTAATCAGCCCGTAATCTTATACCAGAGATGGATAGAAGGGGCGGAGGAAGTCTTGGCACTTTTAGTATATATGTGCGGGGTTTTGTGCACGCATGAGTTTTCCTGTGGACGGGGCCCACAGTTTACATCTTATTCTCAAAAAAGTTCCACACTTAAAAAAAAAAGGAGTAAGGCTCAGTGTTGTGGTGATATTGCATGAAATATTAACAGAAATTTCCTGAGGGTCCGATAGTTCCTAGGCACTGTGCAAGTCACTGGGAACTCATGAGAATTTCTGCTAATGGGAATAATCCTTCTGGAATCATAAGAGGTAAATAATAACTATTAGATCTTCTTAATCATAAAATCTATTATCTCTCCCAAGAATTAGAATCTCCCAAGAATCAGGAATATGGAAATCCATACCTCTGGTTCTGGGAGTAAAAAGCTCTTCATATTTTGGAAGTATTAATAAATTACTTAGGTTTTAATTTAAATATCTGACATGTATTTAACATATTCGAGCTTTTTGCTTTAAAAAATAAAAAAATGAACTGACACGTAAGTTCATTGTAGCTCTATTGACATCAAAGAAATAAGTAGACATAGGATTAAGTCGCTTATAAAAGTTGAACCTGTGAACTTGGAAGGTGCTTTATTTAGCCCCGGGCTATTATTCTAAACTAAGGCTTGCATGTTCAAATTAGTGAAATGTAGTGGTTACCCTGGGGCAGAGGTGGTGGTTGAGAAAAACTGAAATTTCCCTTTGCAAATGAATAAGGAGCTCAGGACTTCCTGTCTCTGCTCTGAGTCTGCGAATGAAGAATTCGTTTTCTTCTCAGTAACCAGTGTTATAGAATGAGATGTATACCTGAAGAGGAAATGGTTCTAAATGGACAGCACTAAATTTTAGTACCTAAAGATAGTACAGTTTGTTGGTAAGCCTTAAGCCGTCTAAACCTGTCAACAAGCCCTTCACATTTTTAAATATAGATTGATAATTAATTCACAGCCTTTGCTCATATACTTGAAGCATATAACAGACCTAAGAGGAGGCAACAGGTCACAATCCCTGTTTGGCAAGGTCGGCCCTTTAGCCTTAAAGCCTTTCTGCTATTTTCATCTTTGTTGTCACCTGATGGCTACTCCTTCCCTTGTCTCTTGCTCTCATGTCCTGCTGCACTCACCCTTTTGAGCCTTGCCAGTTCTTGAGTCCAGGCAGTTGGGAGTACCCAGGGAAGCAGCTCTACCACCTTACAGAGTCAGGATGGACAAGTGCTATACTCTTCAATATAATACATTGAGTCATGATTGGTGATTTGTTCTGTAAACTGGTAAAAAATTTATTTTAAAATTGATCATGGGTTTTTTTTTTTTTCAATCTATCAAGCTGTTGTTCACTAACTATTGGGTGCTATGGGGGGAGACAAGAAAACCTGCAAAGAAATGATCATCACCTTGGGAAAGAAAAATGCCCCTGTTTGGCACACAGGGGAGAACAACACAATCAAGTGCTAGATTATGTGGTTGCCAGTAATAACAGCAATTCACATAACAAACTCTTGAAATCCAGGGCATTCGAAAATAGAAAGCCAGTACTGATCCTTTGCATTTTTAAGACTTTCCTTTACAAATTAAAGCTTAGTGTGTGTACTTCATATTTACTTCTTCCTAACAGAGATCGCTGTAGCTTGTGTAGGGCCTTGTTTTGAACTCCGAACATCATCTGCCCCCTAGATAAAGACAAACTATGCAAGGCAGATCAATCTGTGAAACCAGACCTCTAGTTGAAAAAAAAAATGATATTAAAAGAATGCCCATGCCAATCGCATTTTAGGTAGATGGCAAGAAGTTGTTAAAGCATCCACTTTTTCTAAGTTACCTCTTTCTTCCACAGTTCCTGACAGACATTTGTTGTCAGCCAGGCCAAGAAAAGAAGCAAAATCAATGCTTAGCAATAAATGGTGGGGCATTGTGGTAGGACAGGCAGCCTTTGAGCTCCGTAGTATTGATGGGGAAGAAGATGGTAGAAAATAGAGGCTTTCCAGAATCTCCTGCAAAAGCCAAACCTGTGGGAAGAGAGCACAGATTGGTTCATTGTCGTTCAAGACATGCGTTGTTGGTAGAAAAGGAGAAAATGCACTTGGAACAGATTCTAACAATGAAGTTTAATTTGGCTAACTCATTTAATCAGCTTTCAATAAATTCACTGTTAGAGATTTGTTAGTTTAAAGCAATTCCAAGTGAGAATAAATATTACCAAAAATCAGAAGGAACAATGATAAATTTCTGTATGACTCCTAAGTCTGATAGTTCTGAATTAATGTCTCCTTGTGTAATAAAATGAATCTGTTGCCTGTAACACCCTTTTTATTTCCCCTCTTTTAAACCTACAGACTTCTTTTCCAATGAATCCGCCACTTGCACCTAATCCTGCCATGGCTTTCAATCCTTACATACCTCATCATGGGATGAGCCTGGTTCCTGCCGAACTTGTACCAAATGCTCCTGTTTTGATCTCTGGAAACCCGCCTTATGCATTGCCTGGAACTGTTGGTCCAAAACCGATGCGGTCAGACAAACTGGAGGTATTTGCAAAGAAATATATGAATACCTGTAAACTAGTTATGTGCCTTATATATAAACAGTATTCTCATAGCATAATGTATTTCAAATGGGGGCTCACTAGCCTTTTGGCATACAGAATATAACCCCAGAAAAATATTAAGCATTCTACTATTGCAGTTATACCACATTATGCCCTGATTCAGTTGTGTAATAGGTCAAATAACATTTTATATGTATGCAGTCACACAGTGGTCTGTGATGCAGGGAATCTGAGTATGAACACTCCTTGTACCCAGGCTCCAACTTATCAAAATAGGATTAGTGTACCTGTATTTACTAATGAATCTACTTACTATAACCATGAAACAGAAAAGTGTGTAAGGCTGTGTCAACATTTTAGGAAAGATGTACCACATCCTTTAAAATCGTTGAACTTTTCAATTTATGTGGATTAACTTGCAGGCAAAATTTTACCTCTATAAAGCACTAAAATACAAAGAATGCTTTACTAGAAAGTAAATCACTTAATGCCTAAGAAATTTCATACAGCTTTTAGATTTCTTAAAGTCCTATTTTCCATTCTTTGTATGTTAAAAAAAAAATAGTTTCTCACAAAGTTGACACCACTGGCAACCCCATATACGCTTAAAGAGATTCACCAAATTCAAAGAAAGGTACTTAAAAGACTTCAAAGACAAATGCTATTTTACTGCATAAAAATTTTGCATCCAGGTGTAGTTTTGCCATAATTCACATTCCCATGAACTTCGTTGCAGGTCTATCAGTTGTAACCGAGTCTGATTTTACGTGTAACTCAGTATGTGAAAAACTAGCAGCACACTGCTGAGCATTGAAGTAGTAACAGCAGAGCAGTGAAGACTCACATCTTACAGAAACAAACAAACAGTTATACTTGTATTAACTGGAGGGTTAAACTTGGTTTCCAATATATTTCTAAGCAGTTTCATTTCAATGGAGTGAAAACAGACTGCTTCCTTTTGGGAAGGATGGAAGTTGCTTGCTAGGAAGATGTGTATCTCCTGGTGAGTGGACTTGGGATTCTCCCTCATCTTTTTAGCTGCTTCCTAAACAAACGGTACAACGTTGAGGATTACTTTCTATATCCAGTGGCAAAATAAATAACCCATCACCTTCCAGTCATCACTACGACACGTGTGTGTGTGTGTGCATGCGTTTGGTTTTCTCTCTTCTTTTAGGTTTGCCGGGAATTTCAGCGTGGAAATTGCACCCGTGGGGAGAATGATTGCCGCTACGCTCACCCTACGGATGCTTCCATGATCGAAGTGGGCGATAACACTGTGACGGTCTGCATGGATTATATCAAAGGTCGATGCTCCCGGGAGAAATGCAAGTATTTTCATCCTCCTGCGCATCTGCAGGCCAAGCTCAAGGCAGCTCATCACCACATGAACCACTCAGCTGCAAGTGCCATGGTAAGAGCAGGCTGAACTTGTGGCCCGTCTCTGCTAAATGACTAAATGACTAATATATCCCCCAATTTGTCTCATAGCCTGTGACTGTAATGTTGGCTGCTCGTGAATGAACCTTAATAGGAACAGTCAAGCTTAGGAGCTAGAAAACAGACAACCTTATTGTTCTCTGTTTGCTAAGATTTTTCTGAAGATAATTATTTAAAAGCTTTGTTAATTAATTTAACGTACTGGGCTCTTTCTTCCATTTTCAGAGGCAGGGCAAAGCCCATGATTTATAGCAGTAAATTATTGTTGAGTATTTTCCGTAGTCTAACTACCCTAGAGAGACGGGAAGTTGCCTTCACTTTGCAAACCACTGTCGGGGCACTTTACTCCTGCCATCCTTAATTTGTTTCCAAAACAAAACACTTGAGTAAGATGGCATCTGAAATAGATTGGAGTCTCCCTGTGTGGTTGATGTTGCCTTTTGTATCTGGCTGCATGCTATTAACAGAGGGGAGAGGAAGGGTAGCAGGTGACACAGAGGCTAAAGTGGAATTCCGCCCGCTAGGGACCAGAGGCCTTGTTTTCTCAATCACCGCAGTGGGTCAGCTCTGCTTTCTAACACTGACAGGACAAAAATGGGGAAACTCTTGGAGTAGCCCTATGGTGTGATAACCTTGAGAAGTACAAGGGATGATTACTTGAAGTTTGTCACAACTGTCAAGGCCTTCAATGTGCTGCTCGCTCTACATGTCTTTTTCTACCTGGACTTTTCCTTAGGTAACTTATGTGTGCCAGTTTCAATAAGGGACAAACTCTAGGGAAACCTGTTCCCTGGCTGTGAAAAACAAACAAATGAACAAACAGCACACCAAAGCAAAACAAAATAAAAAATAAAGCACCATGCCTGACCCTGGAGCCAGGCAATGCAGTGTGAACTGAATTGCTTCAAGCACGCTCACAGTTCACACTCCGTGACGGAACCCTTGCCTCCTCACAAGAGGCATTCCTTTGTTTTCAAACATTCCAATTCAGGAGGATTCCCACATGTTGGGTTGACATCTACCTGGTTGCAAATGGAACTTCACCAAACAAGCCAATGGCTAGCCCATGTGAGATTCTTTTATCTAAGCAAAGCACATCAAAATTTCCCCAACTTTTGCTTGTAGATTATGGTTTCCAGGGCACAGGAGTATTTTTTGGACAGTCTGTGTGATCTCTATGACTGTCTTTTGGACAGTCTATGACTGTCTTTTGCTTTGTGAGGATCAGAGCCCTGAGGTAGAATTTAGCCTTTCCCTTGATCTGGACAACATACTTTTTGTTAGTGCATGTTAAAAAAAAAAAAAAAGAAAAAGAAAAAAAAACACTCCACTTTTTTTTTTTTTTTTTTTTTTTTAGTAAATCTATTTGAATTGGGAGAATTTTAATCTATGAAAAGAATAAGGAATCTAGACTGTTGCTTGCAGGGTTAAAACCTTCAATGTTTTAATGACTTAGGTTGGCTCTGTAGAGTTTAGAAGCAGAATGGGCTTATTAAGAATTGAGTGCAGTTACTCCCTTAGAAATGAATATCTTCATGCACAGGAGATGCGCAAGCAGTAGCTTATTTGTGCTGTATAAACTTATATCCAGACCCAGGCATAGGGCTTACTATATGTCTGCTCATTTCTGATTATTTGAGTATGCTTGGTTAAATACATATGTAGATTTCCATTTAGACAGCTAAATATTATATGAAGAATCTTTTAAAAATTCATGGAAAATGCATATTAAGAAGGAACTATGCAAGGATTTCAAACTTGTACCAAAATAAGTTCATCTTCCAATTGGATTTCCCCTGGTTTTCCAAGTAGCCTCAACCAGCGAACATCCAATTGATACTGTGAACGTTGATAAAGTTCCTTTCCGAGTCACTAGCTGGAGCAGGTCTTAGTGGTAAGATGAAAGTAGCCCACAGGAATTGGAGGTAAGTCTTAAGTAGATGAGGGCTTGGTGAAAAGGTTTAAGGTTCTTATGCATGTAAGGATTCAAAGTGAAAATACTTCATAAAAAAACATTTTGTTTTTCCATGTTCATGTACACAGCTGAGATTGACTTCAATGAACTCAACTTTTGTATATTTTTTTATTAAAGATTTATTTTTTAAAAAATTTTATTAAAAGTCAGATATACAGAGAGGAGGAGAGACAGAGAGAAAGGTCTTCCATCCTATTATTCACTCCACAAGTGGCCAAAATGGTCAGAGTTGAGCTGATCTGAAGCCAGGAGCCTGGAGCCTCCTCCAGGTCTCCCAAGTGGGTACAGGGTCCCAAGGCTTTGGGCCGTCCTCGACTGCTTTCCCAGGCCACAGACAGGAAGCTGGATGGGAAGCAGGGCCACCAGGATTAGAACCGGCACTCATATGTATGTGTAAGGTGAGGACTTTAGCTGCTAGGCTACCAAGCCAGGCCTTGTGTGTATTTTTTTTTTTTTAAGGATTTAGAGAGCTGATATTTACTTCATTCAGGGTTTGATTTTGTTTCACTTTTTTTTTTTTTTGGCAAATTAATGAGTTTTAGATGAGGTTGTTGAGGCCCCAGCTGGTACGGATCACAGCAATGTTTGATAATAGTGCAAGCTTATCCCAATCAGAACTGTACACTCACCTGCCAGGACAGACCCTCAGTAGCAACCAGTGTGACCTTGCCAGCATTTATCAGTTGAATGGTTCTCAGAGCCCTGCTCCAAAGTCTGGTTTACTGGGCTATAACACGTTGGCTCTGACTATCATATCAGGCATTAACTTGCTGGGGAAATGAACATCCTCTACTTATACCAAAGGAAACTCTTTAAATAATTAGGGAAGCAGTGTCCTGCCTTCATGGTGACAAAGGCATTTGAAATGCTAAATCACGTTTTCCATTTTCTTTGCCATCTAGTCCTTTCAGATACATCTGAAGACTGCATGTCTCTTAAAGCTATGCAGTTAATTTTAACCTTACCCATTTAAGCCTGCTTTTGTTTATTTAGGAGAAATGAAATGTTTACCTGCCACACTATGTATACTGAGAGCAAAGTTCCCCAAAGAAAACCTTGGCACCTTTAGATCTTCATCATTCACATGAATAAGGATGTCATGGCAGGAACCATTTTTTTTGGACCAGGAAAATTGCTTTAGTGAACACAAGTTTTCCCATCTCCGTAAGGGTTTGGAGATACCTCATTGTTCTTGTTGGGACATGTATTTTAAGCAATGTGCAATGTGTTGGGGTAAAAGAAAAGGTAAAGTAGAAATAGTGTTTGGCCTAGCAGATAACAGACGAGCTAAGACACTTGCATGGTGCATCTAAGTGCCTGGGTTTTGAGTCCCTCTGCTGGTCTCTAACTCCAGCTTCCCACGCGTGCACATTCTGGCAGGCATCAGTGGGAGCTCAGTAGCTCAGTGCCAGCTGCTGGTATCCTGGTATCCTGGCTTCGGATTGTGGACCTGGTGGTTGTGGACCTTTGGGGAATGAACCAGCAGCTAGAAGCTCTGTTGGTCTCTCTGCCTCTCAAATATAAAGGAATGTAAAGTAATATGAAACTTCTCTAATAAAAGTGATTCGGGCATATTTGAGAATTGTAAGAACAATCTTTTTTTTTTTCCCCCCAAGGAAACATGGACCGAAGAGTTTTAAAAGGATAATAGGTTTTAGAATTAAACTTTATAAAGTCTTAACAAAGAAAACAACACTCGTTGAAATGCCAGGAAAACCTCTATAGATAAAAACGGAATACATTTTGCTCACTGATACTCGGGTGAGAGAGGCAGTGGGAGAGAAGTGCTTTGTTGGCATTCACTTACATTTTAATTAGAACTTGCAGGACCTGAACTTGAAGTCTGTGCATAAGCTGAATTTTGGTTTCTGGGGCTCGAGTTTGTGATCTTCCAGCATGTGTTTTAGGCTTTATAACCTAGCATACTGTGAGCTCATAGATCCATACTGGAATTATAATGGGCCAAAAAGTTTTTTCATGCTACATTTTTTTTTTTTTTGCTTTTGCCAATCTCATTTTTAAGGCTTAACGGTGAACATCCCTATGCTGTCCATTTGTAATTGCTATTTGCTGTAACTGTTTTATGTTACCATGTGCCTTAGAAATGTTTCAATCTGTGACGCTGGCAACCTTTCACCCACTCCCAGCCCATAGTTGAATTTTGTGTTTAGGATGAACAACTCCTCCTGTGAACTGCTCGTCTTCCCGGTTGGTTTCCTTGCTTTGGGGCCGCCGATTGGTGAATATCTTCTCAGGCTGTGGCATCTACAGCTGCTTGTTGCAATGCTTTTTATTTATGTGGTTTTCCTTTTTGTGCTACTAGTGATTAATGCATTGCTCCCCCGACAGGCCCTTCAGCCTGGTGCAGTTCAACTGATACCAAAGAGAATGGGAATTGAGAAGACCAATGGTGCCACTCCAATGTTTAATCCCAGTGTTTTCCACTGCCAGCAGGCTATGGGTAACCTGCAGCTCCCGCAGCCGGCATTTATCCCTGCAGGTAAGAACAGGCTCTTGGCCTGGTCGAGTTCATGGTGTTGTAAATGTGTACAGTGCATAGCAGCTTCTAAAGCGTTTAGCTAGGAGAACTGTCGACATGTGTTTCGATCAGAAATAAAACAAGGCAAGCATGCTTGATCTGCCAGTATCTGGAACAACCTGTTCTTCTGTGATTCCTGAAAGTTAATGATTTGAAATCAAATTGGGAGAAAGTAGTCACATTTCTCTTTTTAGCAGTTCTTATTTTTTCCTTCTTATAGTTGATTTGCTTGATTCAGTCACAAACTAATTTCTTAACTCTTAGGTATAATTCCCACAGACATGAGCTGTGGCATAATAAAATTAATAACTTCCTTTCAACATTGAAAAAAATCTATATCCCACATATCCTTAATATACCCAAAGTAGCTACAGTACGTTACAGTTATGGTATAGCACAGTGTATTGTAAAACAGTTATGTTGCCTCCAGCTCTTGAATATAACATAGCATAAAACCCTAACAACGTAAAAATACAGAAATATTTATTTTCTGATGCTTTGCAACATATATTATTACGTCTTACATCCAACTGTGTTTAATAGTGTAACAATTTTATATCAAGGTGATAGAAAACTTTAAATCAGAATTTGGTAAAAAAAAAATGCCATGTGTGCATGGAAACTGTTAGAAAAAAATTAAAAATATTAACCATTGGGATGGGTGGATTGTCAGAATTCTAAAAAGCTCCACTTTGTAAATGAGTAAGTGAAAATAACACAAACTTTAAAAATTAATTCAGAATGCATCATTAACTATATAAACACACTGAACACTTAGTATTGTATACCTGGGTTTGAAAAAAAAAACCCATTAGTTAATTAGTGAATTAATCAGTTAATGAAGTGGAAGAAATTCACCAAAACCAAAAACACACCCAGTCTTTACACATTCAAGTCCACATTGTCGTAGTTCTTCATGACATCATTTAAGCCACAGCTCCAGGAGTGAGCATCCAGTCTAGTAGATGAGATGTGACCACATTCCATATCAGCGTAGCTGGCTTAAAAATTCAGATCCCGTTCCTGACACCAGCTTCAGAAAATGCAGATCCTAGGACACAGCCACAGTCACTGAAGCCATGGCACCTGCTGTCTGTTTCTGGCTCCCGGGTTCAGGCATTTGGAAGTGGATCAGCACGTGGTGTATCTTTCTTCCCACTGACTCCCTCTGTACCTCTCAGATAAATAGCAAACAATCATTATACAGCTTTTATGCATTTATATAATAGTTTCTGAAGGGGGAAATATAATTCTTTGTACATTTTATATCAGTCTTTAAAAGTTACCATTAATGGATAACAGATTAGGTTTTTCCTGCAATTACGAGAGAAAAAAAAAAAACCATAATTTCTACAGAGTAAAAGTGAAAACCATATGAATTAGTGCAGGCTTTATTTCTGACATCTGTTGTTTCCTCAAAAAAATGTGATAATTTGCCTCCATATGAGATTACCCCACTTCAGCTACTTCCAGCTTTCCCAGGAAGTGCAGGCAAGGTGAATGAACATGGTAAAGTTGATGATATTCAATCTAGATTTTTTAAATTCCATACTAACTTTGTTTAAAACTTGCACTTTTTGCCCTATGATAAGACAAAATATCAGAAGGAAACCTCTTTCCCTGTATCATGAGCAAAACCAGAAATCTGTCTAGGTGAGAGCTCCCTTTTTCATGGAAACAAACCATTGTTACGGCTATGTTCATACTCAAGTCCTCAGATGCACTGAGGGAGAGGAGGCAGTGTGATACATCAATGCTCCAAACAGGAATATGAACTCCAGGTGGTGGATCCCATAGCAGTCTTTGAAAGTAATATTATTTTTTGTGATAACTATTTAACATATTTATGTTCAAAATAAATTGTTGACTTAAGTGAAATAATTCCTTTAAAGAAAAATTAAAGTTTTTTTTTGTACCTAAGAATTAACTTTCAATTTTTTGTACCTAAGAATTAACTTTCAATTTTTTTGTACCTAAGAATTAACTTTCAATATCTACATTTGTGATCTTAAAGCTAATCTGTGTTTGTAAGCCTGGTGATTACTGGGTTTGTATATACGCATTACTTGATATTGTCAAAAAATTATCTTTCTATTTAAAATTTATCTCTCTCTCAGTAAAGCTGTAATAATGAATTATCTCTTTTCTTTACTTTCCACGCTTTTCTGCATGGTGTACAGGGCCAATACTGTGCATGGCACCCACTTCAAATATTGGTAGGTTTTGTACAAAAATTCTTAATTTCTTTTTACCTGAAAAATTGTTTCTTCTGTTCTGACTATGAAAAAAAAAAAAAGAGTGATTGAATGAGGTAGCTGGACACTTTCTGGGTATTTAACATTTAATTTGGCACTTTCTTTTGCTTCTGTTTGTGAAATCAAAATAATCCTACTTTCTCAAGTCCTAGTTGGTTGCCACTGTGGCCAAATACTAACCCTGACATTTGTAACTTATTTGTACCCTAAAACTTGCACCAGAAATATTTTTTATGTTTCTTTTCAATGCCAGACTGAGCAGTTTCTTTCTTTAGTTTCTGAAGTACCAACAGTTCTTCTCTCCATAATCCATGTAATCCATACCATTCGATACTCATATGTTGAAAAAGGCTAACTGGAGCAAAACTAGTGTATTCTGAAGTATTCTGTAATGAATTTCTGTTGTGTTGTAGGATGAAGCATCAACTACACAACATTTAGGCCCAATGCGTTCATTTCACATGGACTCTTGCGCGAGTGTGTGATTCTTAGCAGCCAGTTACACGCAGATCCTAGCTTAGCCCCCAATACAGCATGGTCGCTGTCTCTAAGCCATTTTGTCCTTTACTAAGTAGGTAGGAAAGCTCCTATAGTCCTTAGGGACACAAGGAACAGACAGAAGCAGGGAGCAATGAGCCCTCCTCACCGGCTCACCCAATCTGCCTCCTCCTGAGCTTTTTGAGAGTTTGTACTACATTAGGGCTCCATCCCACTGCACACCTGAATAGATAACAGAGCTCATAAAGCATTCGCAGGCTATATTGAGATAAAAACCAAAAGTCAGAATACCAACACCTAGGAGCAGCCCTCATTAATGCCACAAAACCTGAACCCTCAGCATTAGAAGCCTGTTTCACAGAGCCATCGGCTGACCCTTGTAGGAATTAGTGAAATTCCCCTGATGCTAACAAGGACATGATATGCATCTGATTAAGGAAACAACCTTCTCCTAGTGGTAAAAAAAAAAAAAAAAAAAAAAAAAAAAAAATGTGTGTGTGTCTGCCTTTACATTTTGTGACTGTTTTCTCCGGGTTGCTCCTCTGTCGTTTTCCGCTTAGAGCTTGCTTAGGAATGCAAGCTGCATGCTTTAGTGGTGCTGTTTCTGCTCGGTCGCTGTGCTCCCAAAGGGAAACCATGAGTGCTTTCAGAACTGGTGTGCGAGACAGTAAGGGACAGACGAGTCACTGGAGAAGAGTGGAAGGGAGAATGGTGGGGGGAGGGACAAGGGGGACTCCCTATACCTACCGAAGTGTATCATGCAAAATAATTTTTTTACGATTTTATTTATTTTTATTGGAAAGGCAGATTTACAGAGAAAAGGAGAGAAAGAGAGAAAGATGTTCCATCCACTCGTTCACTCTCCAAGTGGCCGCAATGGCCAGAGATGAGGCGATCTGAAGTCAGGCGCTTCTTGCAGGTCTCCCACACGGGTGCAGGGTCCCAAGGCTTTGGACCGTCCTCGACTGCTTTCCCAGGCAGGGAGCTGGATGGAATGTGGAGCAGCCAGGATACGGACCAGCACCCATATTGGATTCCTGCAGAGGCAAGGAAATGATTTGGCTTCTAGGCTATCGTGCTGGGACCCTATGGAAAATAATTTAAAAAAAAATTTTAAGAGTAGAAGGAAGGGCCCAGCGCGAAAGTGTAGTGGTTAAAGTCCTTGCCTTGCACGTGCCAGGATCCCATATGGGTGCCGGTTCCAATCCCGGTGACCCCGCTTCCCTGCTTGTGGCCTGGGAAAGCAGTCAAGGATGTCCCAAAGCCTTGAGACCCTGCACCTGCTTGGGAGACCCAGAAGAGCTCCTGGCTCCTGGCTTCACATCGGCGCAGCAGTGGCCGTTGCGCTCACTTGGGGAGTGAATCATCGGATGGAAGATCTTCCTCTCTGTCTCTCCTCCCCTCTGTGTATATCCGCCTTTCCAATAAAAATAAATAATTCTTAAAAAAAAAAAAGAGTAGAAGGGAGAATGCCGGAGTCTCTGAGAATCATCATGTGAATGGAATGAACTTTGGGGTTCCTATGACAAGGCATATGTCAATTTTCCTCTCTCCAGCCATTTACTTTCTCTGTAGACTCCTAAAATCTGAATTCGATTGATACAGACATGACAAATTATTATACATGCATGCTTGCCACTCACACGTTAATTCCCTGGTTTACTTTCCAAAACGAGCTAGAAATTAGAGGAGCATCCAAAAAGCTTTCAAAATGAGATGGAAACTAGAAGAGGCGAAGACAAAACATCCTGAAAGAGATTTTGCAGCTGCTAGCCATTGTAGTTGTAGTGTTTGCTGTGAAGGCAAGATTTACTATGAAGTCCTCCATGAACCTGCTTGGCAAACAGCCAAAGTTTCCTAGGAGCTTGCCAGAGACATACTTAAAAACCTACACACATAGGCCTCTGTGTTCTTCATATCTGCTCCCCTACCACATACCAACCAAATGGATTACCATTGTTTGCATGCAGATTCGGTAAGTGTACATGTATAACTGTCCCTCTGCACCTGCAAATTTAGTGGCTGCACTCATGTGCATAAGACAATGAACCCAAACAGCAGTTCACAACATATACTCTTGGTGAATGTGAAATTTGTTTAACCTCAACTAGATAGCCCTAATAACATAAAATTGGGGGAGGTGTCCATATGTACTCATGGTAGCCTCTGCTGAAAATGTGGCCTTTTGAGTCAACAACGTTGTGATTTTGCTCAAAAATTTACTAAATGGTGAGATTGGTTCCGTTTTCCTTAATGGTAACTATAATTGGATTTCCCCTTTTCTCTTTTTAAATTTCCCCCTTCCATGCTGTGTTGCTTTGCACTGTGACTGCATGTCGCACCCTGGTGTACCCATCATGACGATATCATATGGCTTGCTGCTGTGATGCCTACCATGCCCCATTCCATCGTATATGTCATGGTTACATAAATGCTCCACTCTTCCATGTGTTGCTTCCATGGTTTCCTACTGAAAGTGCCCATGATGCACAGTGCTACACCTACCACTGTGTCTGCAGCACCAGCACCTGCCACCACCGTTCCCTTCGCTGCAGCACCTACAGGCAATCAGGTTTGCTCATTTATTTCACCTGTTGGAATCTATGACATTGTGTTGGTAGGGCACAGTACATGCTTTCAGGATTGGTGAGATTGGTCTGTATTGTATGTTTGCTAAGCAGTGATCACATTTAGAAGTTCTGGCTTTTGTGTGTATTTTGGAGTACTTGTATGTGCTTTGCTGTTCATTTCCAGGTTCATCAACAGCTTTACTCGTTTTTGTTTTGATGGCCAGACACTCTTGAGAGCCTATATCCGATTATTGCTTTCTCACCAATCCTCAAATGTGTATGCTGTACTAAATGTTTCTGGAATGCTTCCTCATTGGTCAAGAGGAAGATCCATTTTGTTGTATTGCTATTTTGGTTGCTGTGTTTGATTTTTGACTTAGTGCAATCATTACATGTCCATTCAGGGCTGCTGGAAGGAAAGATACCACATTTCTTTCCACTGCACAGCTATCCTTATCAGTACAAGTGATTTTATCAAAAATGTCTCCTCACGCAGATATTAGATATGCTTGTGTTGCTTGGATATTCATTTGCTTTATGATTCCCAGGCAGAGCCACAGGGCAACTTAGAAATTTTGGGGGAGTCTTGAGATTTTATGGAGAAACATAGCATAAATTATTATCTAATGTGATGGCCTATGTTTTTGCCTCATTGAAGTGCTAACTGTGCTGACTACATGTTCCATTTCAGCTTAAATTATAGCTGTGAAAACCATGAAACACACAAGGCTCTAATTCATTGGAGGAGCAACCTATGTTCTAATCTGTGCTTTGCAAAATGAAATTATCAGTTGAAATTACTAATAATGTCCAAATTATTTTTGTGAAAAATAGTATGGTTATTGATTACCATGTCCAGGCAGTGAACAAAACAGAATTCTCGTAAGAAACTATGTTAATCTAAAATCTTTTTTACTACTGTAGATGCCCCAATTATCAATAGATGAACTGAATAGCAGCATGTTTGTTTCACAGATGTAGAAGTTACCAGTAGAACAGTAAGTTTCTTTAAGTATTAATATAAATAATATTCATAGGTTATATCTCTTATTTACACAATTGCATTTCTTACAAGTTTGGGTCAATACTTTCACTGATAACTGTTGCTTATGAAATAGATCTTTACTTAGATATTCTAAATTGTCTAACTTGAAGTATGAGAGTGAATATCTGTTGTTTAAGCTTAGAAGTGATAGCTGGTATTGTGTTTTGCCAGAGAACTTAGTGATACTGAAGTTTCCTGTTACTATAAGGTTACGATTTGTTAACCAAAGGCACAGATCACTTTTCAGTTTTAGCTCTTTAACACGTTTATAGACTTCACTTCTTAATTGAAGTAAATAAAGCAATTTTGTCGGAGTTGGACTAAGATGATTCTCGGAAAGGCAGTAACAAATGTGCTCCTCCTGTAATGCTGGAGAAAACACTGCTTCCATAATGTGCTGCATTGTGTCGCTTCCCATGCATCTCAGGGAGACTTGTTGTCATTGAAATTGTGGCTTTTAAAATGTGATTGCTGCTGCTTTCCCCACCCCTTTACTTTTCATCTCCTTTTCACATGGCCAAGAACGCACAGAGCCACAGACTAACCTGAGCCATCACTCAACTCAGAAAGCATGACTTTTGAAGCCAACTTAGGACTTGCAGTTCTCTTCATTCTAGGCATTAATTAAACAAGGGTGCTGACTCTGAATTGCATGTGTTAATCACTGCACATTTGAATTCTCACACTCAACGTGTGTTATTTAATCGAAGGAGACACTTAACTCCCTACACTGCCACTAACCCCTTTGTCCTGCTAGGGACACACAGGCCTAGAACACTAACTGTTTTGGACAGAGCCAATAGTTAACAACACAATAGGTAACCAACTTCTGTGGATAGTAAGGAGTGTTTTCAAAAGACTCCTTGGAGAGTACTTGTGGACTGATTAACAGATGTAGACATTGTAACAATTTTCAGGGGTGTCATTTAGATAAGTGGCAACTTGAAAACAGTACCAAATGTGAGAATGTAAATTTGTCTGACACCTAACCAATCAAATGGGCTGTTTCACATCAAGGTAAAAAATAGTTGGTAAATACAGGTAACTTTCCAACAGAGCATGTTTGGGAAAATCGATTCTTCTTTGCTTGATCACACTTAAAAAAAATGCAGACATGTTTGACAGAACATAATCACTAAAGTGACGTAACTGGCATTGATAGTTTCTCTGAAGGTCAGTAGTACAATTTTGTGCAGGCCTATAAATACTGCACACTTGGGTTTTTCCTACCGAGTTTTAAGTCATTCGGATAGAAAGAAAATTTATTTTATATTTGTATATTGCAAAATGTAACATTTTCTTAATATATGCCTGTTGAAGGAGTTGAATGTAAGTAACGAATTTTGGCCATATGTAGATGATGCATAGAACAGTGTTAATTTGGGGCAGTTTACAACAACAGTTCTCAATTGGGACTTGCCATGGATTATCACAGCCAAATGGTACTCAGGGATCATTCTCAATGGTCCCATTTATATAAATGTCAGGTGTGGGATTCAGAATAGGAAGTATTTTGCTTTAAGTTCACTCACAAAACTGGAGCAAGGATCACAGACTCCTGCCTCCTTGTTCAATAACCCATGAATGTTTCTCACTCTTTTTGTTGTTGTTTGTTTTCTCCATTTCAGTTGAAATTCTGAACAGCAGAGTTATGGAGTATCGGAATCTCTCCCTGAGAACCTCCATCTGGCCTGTCTATATCTATTCTCATGTGTCCTCTTCTACCAATACAACTGTAAGCATGGTGCAGTCCATACATTAAGCAAACATCGCTACCAACCAGTTCAAACAAAAAGAAAGCGTTACAAAATCAATTGGGTATTAAAAACAAAACATGAGTAGAAAACTAGTAACTATCATTTGTCTCATTTGAATTGTCGGGTAGAACATGATCATAGAATTTTTGTAACTTGTTCTAGTATTCTTAGTGATTTGTTTCAGTAACTTTTATGCTAAGTGAATTTCCACAGTGAACTGTATGCTTACTACACATTCCTGGTGAAGAAATGTTATCTGTTTTGAAGTGTTACGTTATGGTTTTGTTTACATGATCATTTATTGGGTTGATTTAGGATGTGACAAATACAAACAGCACCATTTTCTTCATTGTTGTATTGTGCTGTGTTAGGTTTTGTAGTATTTTCCTGGGTATTTTCCTGTAGTATTTTCCTGTATATGTGGTGTTTGACTTCAACTAAAATGTTACTAGTGAAGAAGTATATGTTGTTGAAAAACATGACAGTGAATTCAAATTAATACGCTCTCTGTTTAGAACCTAAGCAATCCCTGAACATGTATGTGTGTATGTTGTATCTGCAAATCGGACCTGATATAATGCAGCCAAATTGTGCGACTGTTTTGTGTGTGAAAGAAATAGTTACTTCTTCACCCTGATAACTCATTACTCTTAAATAGTGTGAGCAACAAGAGTTCATCTTTTAGTGACTTTCTCAGCATTTACACTGAAAACTAGGTAAACTGTTAATTACATTTTCATGGCTCAAGACTCTTGTCTCCTAAACTGAGTGTCTACAACTGAGCCGTTTTTGTCATCTTCAGCTGAGAAACCTGGTACCTGGGGACTTAAAGGTATGCAAATGACACGTTGGAAATCACAGAGAGAGGGGCATGCAGATGGTTATAACATATTGGAGAGAAGTACGTAAAACCATTGCAGTGTAACCTTTTATGCTAGTGCCATTTTTTTTTTCCAATGCCAATGGCTCCTGCTCCTTGCACCGTTCTTTGAATAATCAGGTACAATGTAGCAGAAGTCAGTTCTCATGAAAGAGGATTGATTCCAAATGAGGCATTTCCCCTTCAAATGGACAACCTTCTCTATTGATCACAGAGGAAGTCTTAGTACAAGTTTGGACTACTGGTGGGGTCAGACAAGCAGCGGGGCATTGGGAATCATTTGATCTGTTGAAAAGAACTAGGACAGCTGTTCTCCGCTGTCTTTAACTTCAGCTTGAGGTTGCAGTTCTGTTGAGTACTTCAGCACAGGCACTAGCCCCTGGGATACGTGACATGTATTTCCCTGTCCCAGTGTCAACACCTGGATGGCAAAAAATGGAGGTATCCCACAGACCTGAGATAAATTCACACTACTAATACTTGGGAGATTCTTTTGCAACCAAATGAAATTGTAACTCGTTCTGCAAGATAGGTGACAAGTCTCCACACTACTCAGCTACTTATTAACATCACTATTATGACACAATAAAGAGAGCATGATTTGTTTTACATCAGCTTAGATAAATTTTATCTTTTCTACTAAATAGATATTCACTTATGAGAATGTATAAAACTATCAAATTTTATATACTGTAGTTTTGGTCCTAAAATTTTCTGCATTGCTGGCATTTTGGAAGTTGCTTTATAAATGAGCTTAAAGAAAAATAAAACTCCAAGCCCCCAAGTTTTGATGAAATTCTATAAACTTTTGAGAACAACACAATTTTAAAATGGCACTCTTTTAAACTTGCTGTTTTCCTCTTTCTTGAAAATGACAAAAGAAAATCTGATTTAGGAAACCTTAAGCCAGCAAGGAGTGTTTTGCAATGACAGAAGAATAGAGCTGGCCAAGATCTTTTCACAATTGATGAAGCTGAGGCCCAGAGTCTGTGACTTACCCAAAGCTCTGTAGCCATTGTGGGACCCAGAACCGTCAGTCCTGATCCCCCAATCGCTCTTCCTCTTCACCTAGTTTTGGATTCAGAACACTTGGGTTCTTATCCCAAAGCTGGTGAATGTGGTTCGGAATACAAAAGAGCAAAGTTCTCCTGCTCTCTGGTGGTTGATGTCCTCTGGATCACAATTCTCAATCCAGATCCAGATCCACAAGGATTTCTAAGCAGTCTTGATCTTTAAGGAGTCAATGTCCATCTGTCCCCAGAATCATCTCAAGAGATCAAGAGCTGCTCTCATTTTACCTGTGGACTCTTAGAACCACTTCATTTCTGTTTCTTAAAATCGTAACACTGCTAGAGAAGTACAAACAAAAAGAAGAGTATGCCTTTTTGAAATTGATTGAGTACAGAACGACTTGTGGTACCATCTGTGCCAGTGCCTCTCCAGAGAATTAGTGTGACTGCATGAATCCAGCAAGGATGCCCCGCAGTTTGTCTGCACAAGTATTCCTTAATGAAGATGGCAACTTTTTCGTGTAAAAATTAATTTTGTGTACTTTGACATTTTGATGCAGCATACTGTCTCATTCAAGATAGCACTCTTTTAATTACTTGTGCAATGACTTATTCAAATTATCTCTGTATAAGAAGAGAAAAATAAGTCATTAGACTATAAATCTCCAGTTAAAAAGGACAAGTCACAAAACTAATCAGTGACTCTAAACAAAAATTTTCTGGATGACTTGTACATATAAATTCTAAACACTTGTGATTCTTAGTTGACATTTTATAAGCTTTGTATTTTATAAGGGCCTCTATTTTTTATTTATCCCAAACTATGCTTTTGTCCACTTCTTTCAGTCCTTTGCAAAAATTCGCAAGAGTGCTGAATTGTGGATAAAACGGGTCAAAAATACAGAGAAAGTAATCTAAAAATTATCTTTTAAGAAGGTTTTAGTAGACTCAATTAGTAAAAGAACATTATGTGACCATAAGTATATTTTAAAGAGGAAGTAAGATTAAATTAAAATAAATGGATTCATAAAATTGCTATTTAAGTACAGTATTTACTTTTGCAATTGGAGCCTGATTCCACTACCAGCTGTTTCATTTCATTTCACTTTTCTAGATTAGAGTCTGTAATTTGTAGTTGACTGTGATGTGGAACACTCTCCCCTTCCCCATCCACATTCTCCATCTGGTTTTGAACATGATAAAGCACTTTGATCTCGCCGTAAGTGTTGCCCCTACACTGCTAGGCTGTGCTCATTAATGGGAAGCCTCACCTCACCTGCTCTGCAGTTTGGGAAAAAGCAAGAACCTCCTTCCTGCCATCAGCAAGAACCAAGTTAAATTAATCTTTACAACTTGAATCAGCTTTTAATGACCAGACCGTTAAGCAGAGTGAAGTCTAAAAACTGCATTTCTATGTTTTTTTTTTTTTTAACTAGGTAAGAGAAAAGGCTCATGTGCTTTTTTGGAATGTTTCTTGGCTTCTTTCTTTACCCCTTTGGAGAGTGAAAATGAGGTTGCTCTTGGATAAAGTACAGCCATTATTTCTTCTGAGTTCTTTTCGTCTGTTAGCCAGGCAGTGGCGCACACAGCGTCAACGGGAATCCTTATTCTTCTTAGCTCTTATGTTTCACATCAGTTGAAGGTAAAATTCATGAGTCTCCAGTTCTGATCAACAGATGTAGTAAGATAGTGGCCTACTTTTACCAGTGCCTGCCTAAGACAATAAAACAAGTAGTATTAAAAGACTCTAAAAACGTCTTTGCAAATTTAGCCTACAACCTGCTAAAATTAAGATAACTGCAAATGTAGGTCCTGAGCACCAAGTCTCTGATTGGTGCGATGTTTTCATTTTCTAAGCTTATCTCACTAAGCTTTATTTCAGCGCGTTTTTATATCTCTATGTAAATAATGAATTGCATTTTGAAGCTGAGTTAGGAAAAGTTTAGTTTTGACCCCTTATATTCAGCTTGCCTCCATAGGTACGAAACTGACACTGAAGCATGGAAAGATAGAAAATGTAGTTTATTAACTATTCTTTGCAGTTCACAGTTTAAGAATAAACTTCTAGCTTTATATACAAATAGTAATTGTTAATTATATTTAGTTGTTGCTTTTGCAACAAAACTACAACATGGCTACCTTTAGAAATTCTCTCTGTATGTGTGTGTATGCGTGTGTGTGTGTGTGTGTGTGTGTGTGCCTGTGTAAGAATTTTTCTTGTAAACTTTGGAATTTGTGACAATATGAGCAGATAGAAGGCAGCAGCTCCAAATTCAGAAAGCAGAAACGGTTGCTTCTTTTTTTTTTCCCCTCAAGTCCCATGTGAAAACAGAATTTGTATCCTTGTGTGACTTTTTTGTTCAAAAAAGTTTTCAACACATGGATTCTAGAGCAGGCTTTCCAGTTTGTAGATTTGTTGCGTGGATAGGGTTATTCTACAGTATTTAGACCTCAAAGCATAGTCATTGCATTTATGATACATTAATTGCCTTTTCATTCTAACTTTATTTGTTCAAAATTACCTTGTGTAAGCGGCATAGTGATGGCTGAAAAAGTGGTTTCCTAGAATGACAAACCATAGGTACATCTAAATAAAGACTGAAGCATAACTAAAGCATAACATGAAATCAATTCCAATTTATAAACCCAAACGTAAAGATACTGTGGAATGACCCTTTAACAGTGTTTAAGAGACATATGCTGCAGTTAACTGTCTCAGTTAGGGTGCGAATGTGTGAGACACACCTTTTTTGCACTTATGTACATAGTCCATGAAAGCAATCCTTGGAGCTTTTTTAAAAGTATAAGAAGTCTGTGATAATAGTGGGAAAGTTAGTAAGAGAGTCTTTTCTGAGGCTTTGAGAAGGAAAAGTGTTTTCTAGAAGACTTACCTAAAGCATGATGCTGCTTTGCTGGTGTGGAGGTTTTTTTAGTTCGCTATAGGTCACCGGAAAAGAAGACTGGTACCAGTTAAAGGTCAAATTCAGCTAACAACTCTGATCACGACTAGAATTATGTCACCTTTGCATAAGACCACTAGCAAAGATTGCTTGCTTTTAAAGTAATCCTCACTGAACACACACACACACACACACACACACACACACACACACACACACTAGTGGTAGCAAGGAGTTAACCTGTAAATTGCAAGCTAGATATTCCCATTGTGATAAAATCAGATTTCATTCACAGAAGATTATGGGTTCATCTGTTTATCATGTACTGTGTATTTAAGTGACAATCAGATTCTTAAGGTGGACCACAAATCCAGACCTGTGAACCAAATGGTCAACCATGAAACAATTTCAATTAAGAGTTTTTATGGCCAGCAGTAGCATATTTCATTCTCTTCAACAAAGGAAACCATGCTCCTGGCCCAAGTTACTAAATGGTCTTAATTATATTATACCTGTTTGTTGAGAGCTGTTTTCTGACCAACCTTTGACAATT